TTTGAATCTTTGATGCAATTTTGTTTAAATTTGTAGATAAAGTTTGAAATTTGGATTTATATGCTTGTTGTTATCTATCTATACATAGTATAAAGGAAAGTCGAGATTCCTTGTACGCGGTAATCTCGAAAACTACTGAACGGATTTTAACGAGATTTTCTCTAATATACTCTGTATCGACAGGAGAGGGATCTTTTTTACTTAGAATTTTAATAGGGCTGCCACCTGTCTAAAAAACTATAAGATCCGCACCGTTCGTTGGATTACAAAAGATGAGGTGTCAAATGAAAGGTATTGGCCTCTAGAAAAGCACCTGTTAATAAAATTTCCATATTCAATCATAATATGCGTAGGCATCAGTTCTGTACCGTCACTGTCAAACGAAAAGACTTAGGCTCTGTATGTGTAATAATGTATTATTTTTCTGAATAGGATTGCCACCTGTTTAAAAACTATAAGATCTTCACCGTTCGTTGGATAAAAAATAAGAGCCCAAATGAAAATGCATGGCCTTTGCATGTACATAAACTTTAAGTTTTTTGAGTAGGGTTGCCACCTATTTAAAATTACTATCTTCTCTACATAGTATAAAGGAAAGGCGAGATATTTTAACCACGCTACTGAACGGATTTAGACAAGATTTTTTATGTATATAATAAACGAAGTACATGATGACATATGATGTCTTTCTCCAAATACGTAAATGTACATATGCATACATTCAGCGCGTGGCCGGCTAGTATAATCTATATATATAAAAATGAAATGTCTTACGTATGACGGCGATGCCTGACCAAACGGTTGAACCGATTTCAATTCTGTAAAAAGCATATTTTTGGACCTTCTGTGTGGAAGGTTCTTTGATTTAAAAAAATTTGAAATTTTTTGTTGTTGTTGCCGAAAAATGAAGCAAGCTGAGACGTCACGATTTCACAATTTCATAGAGTTTTCCGTATATTGAATGTCACTAAACTACTAAACGGCTGGACCGATTTCGTTCATATTTGGAACATATTTCAGCACCTTGAAGAGAAATAGTTCCACTAAAAATTTAATCGCTGGGTGGCGCTGGGCTCGGGATATTCATAAAAATTGCATTTACTTGCTCATTTGGCTCAGATTTAGAACATACGTTAGCCAATTGAAAATAAATATTGGGACTAAAAATGTACACGATAGGTGGCATTGTGGACGAGATATTCCTAAAATTCTTATACACTGGGATAACGATAGATATCTGCTATGTATTTGAAGAAGTATGTATGTATGTATGTATGTGCCAGGTTGCAGCCTAAACGGATGGACAGAATCATATGAAATTTTGCCAGAGTATTGCCATGACACCTGGGCATATAACACGAAGAAAAAAATTGGGATTCGACAAGGGGGCGTGGCACCTACCGTAGGCGTGAAATTATTTATCAGCTATAACTTCGGAACCATAATTCACATGAACTTGAAGTTTGGTATGCAGACATATCTACGGTGGCTGTATGTACATACAACGAGTTTGTTAAAAAGGGGCGAGGCATATGCCATTGGCGTGGACCTTTTTATCAGCTATAACTTCGGAAACATAAGTCCCAAGAACTTGAAATTTGGTATGCAGGTATATCTATGGTGAGCACTTATAGTAAGGTAGTATACAAATGAGTTTATAAAAGGGGCACGGCACATCCCATATGCGTGGAATATTTTACCAAGTATAACTTCAAAACCATAAGCCACATGAAGTTGAAATTTGGTACACAGACGTATCTATGATAAGTGCGTATAGTAAGGTATATATAAATGAGTTTGGAAATGGGGGCGTGGCTCATCCTATAGACGTGGATTTTTTTATCAGCTATAACTTCGGAACCATAAGTCATATGAACTTTAAATTTTGTATGCGGGCATATCTATGGTAAGCGCTTATAGTAAGGTATATATAAATGAGTTTATAAAAGGGGGCACTGCACATCCAATAGGCGTGGAATATTTTACTAAGTATAACTTCAAAACCATAAGTCACATGAAGTAGAAATTTGGTACACAAACGTATATATGGTAAGTGCTTATAGTAAGGTATATATAAATGAGTTTGAAAATGGGGGCGTGGCTCATCCCATAGGCGTGGATATTTTTATCAGCTATAAGTTCGCAACCATAAGTCACATGAACTTGAAATTTGGTATGCGGGCATATCTATGGTAAGTGCTTATAGTAAGGTATATATAAATGAGTTTGCAAATGGGGGCGTGCCTCATCCCATAGGCGTGGATTATTTTATCAGCTATAACTTCGGAGCTATAAGTCACATGAACTTTAAATTTGGTATGCAGGCATAGCTACGGTAGGTGCTTAGAGTAGGCTATAAATAAATGAGTGACACATCCCATAGGCGGGAAATTTTTTATCAGACCTAACTTGGGAGCCATTTGGTATGCAGGCAGGTGCTAATGGTAAGGTGTATAGGAATGAGTTTGTAAAAAGGGGCGTGGCACATCCCGTAGGCGTGGAATTTTTTATCAGCTATAACTTGGGAACCATAAGCCCCACGAACTTGAAATTTGGTATGCTGGCACAGCTATGGTAGGTGCTTATAGTAAGGTGTATATGAATGAGTTTGTAAAAGGGGGCGTGATACATCCCGTAGGCGTGGAATTTTTTATCAGCTGTAACTTGGGAACCATAAGCCCCATGAACTTGAAATTTGGTATGCAGGCACAGCTATGGTAGGTGCTTATAGTAAGGTATATATAAATGGGTGCGTGTCACATTCCATAAGCGTGGAATTTTTTCCCAGCCGTAAATTTAGACCATTTTGGAATGGAAAGGTTAAATCATTTTATTGCTCCCGCGATGCTGTTAAACGAAACATGTTCATGTATAATGGATAAAACTACTTCTGAAATAAGCATTCTAGCGGAAAAGTGCAGCTATACTAAAACAGCTAAGCGAATAGGAAGCTATACGGAATGTACCATAGTAGACTAATTTTAGTTTAAAAATTCTATCGTTACCTTATTCCAGCTAATATTAATAATGGAACAAGATGTTTAGTACAGAAAGTGATGATCAATATATGTATATTAGTTGAAGTACGATAAAGATATTTATATGAAGTTAAGGCCAATTGTATGCTCTAGCCTACCGAAAATTTGGTTTTCAACATTAAGCCAAGATTTTGAGGGTCAATTAAAAATTCTGAATATGCTATTTTAATCTACATATTACTCGACTAGGGTCACCACTTGTTCAAACCTTAAAAAGTTCACTCAAATTTTTCTAATTTCGCTTTGATCACGTTGATTTTAAATATTCTTTTTTGTTTGTTTTCTTCCATAGAAAAAAAGTCCAGCATACATACTTTGTATGGAAGAAAATCCGTGAAAAAATGCTAAAAATCAACTTAAAACTTAAAAAATTTTCCTAGAAATGCTTATTAAACAGTTTTCAATTTAGATGAAACTGTGTAGAATATTATAAAATTTGCACAATGTTTGAAAATTGGGTTTATATAGTTAAAAAAATAAACATTAAATAAAGAAAATAAAAATTTCAATAGTGTTATTGAGCTTTGTACCACGCGTCATCGTAAAGGTTAAAATTTTAAAGGCGTGTTTATCGGGTTTTCGGTTTTTTGAGTTATGACAGTATTGAAGTAAATGAGCTTTATGTTCATTTTCATCATGATTCAATAATAAAAGGTTTGCTCAAAAAACAGTTTTCCCGCTCCCTCTTGACAAAATCGGCTCCCTTAGCAAGGCACTGTGTGTGGGTTCGTGTGTGTGTTCAAAGCTTTTGTAACTCTTGCTTTTGTAAGGGAGCTAATGGTCTGATTATGCATACTTCACATAACTTCGCACAACTTCGCATAAACTTCAAACTGTATTTTCGTATGTACTTTGTATCTAATTTGTATGTATTCCATTACCCAGAAATTAGCAGAACTTTTAAAAACTTAGCGATCTGTTGAGTTTAGATTTCACTTCACATTTTCTTAAGTTACATTTTTATTGGACTGGTACAAATGGTTGTGCGAAGTTATGCGAAATATGCATAATCAGACCCTAAGGGAGTGTCAAAACTCTAATGCCACTAATGAGCAAACCTTTAATTATTGAATCATGCATTTAATAACATTCAAACGTTCGCCACAATATTTATTGGGTAATTAAAAAAAATGTACTTAAGAAAGTTCTTAGCTCGTCGATATTTTTCGGCATTCGCGATATTTACTCAGTACTTGTGAAAAAGTATCTAGTTCTCGATACTACTCAGTACTCATGAAAAGTACCGATATTCTGTACTCGGTACTCGTATCGTTCTATCACTAGCCATTGTGCAACGCAGCGCAAAGTAGAATATGCATTTACTGAAAAATATGCTAAAATATGCTCTAAGAAATATAACTCCAACTTTATATTTTTTGGGAAAACGCTTAAGCATTTCATCAGCGCGTTGCTAACATGCCTGACAAAAAACATGCCCGAACATATTTTGGGTTGCCCTAGTTGTAACATTTTTAATGAAAACAATTTTTTTTACCTATTATTTACATGGAAAATTTCAAATGCTCACCGACACTTTTCGAAATGAGAAAATTTTATTCTAAATAAATAGATCCTTTTAAGGTAATAAATTCATTAGGTTAGTTATTTTGAATCACCCTAATGTACACATCGTCGATGTTTTTGTAAAACCGCCTATCCTACGGCACCAAAATTTTACAGGAGAGCAAAAAAACGGGTTTTCTTTGAATGCATTACCTTGTTAGGCATCCTTTTCTCGAGCTATTATTTTAAAAATATGTTGTTTTAATAACGATTTTACAATTTTTATGCATAAAACTCGATGCCTGAAGTTCAGGGTTACCAAATCCCATTTTTGCTACAACGGCGATTAAGGCAGTTCTGCAACTGATCGATGGGCGGTCTTGCAAAAACATCGACGATATATATAATACGTACTTTAATACAAGCGCAGTTAATAATTTTGCAATGAATGTTACTCACTTTACAATATTCGGATGGTCTGAAGCATTTAGGTGTTTCAATAACGCGATCTCACGAAGCGTTGACATTGGAACTCCGTTGTCTGTAATGGGTATGCGAACTTTTTTGATCGCAACAATCTTGCCAGATTGGTTATCTCGTGCACGATATACAGTACCGTAAGCACCTGCGACATTCGTGTTCAAATATTAAATTAAGATAATTTTTGACGACCCATTTGTTGAATTGGATGCAATTGACGAAAACCACCAAAAACATGAAAAAAGAATAAAAGTAAATTATAAGAGCAGAAATCAAATTACGAAAATACATATAAAAATATCTCAAAGCTTTTATGTAAACAAAGTGTATAGCCCCTTTTCCGGCTTTAGATTTATAGTTGATTTCCATCAAGCCATAACTGCAGTTTACGCCGTTTGATAAACGGAGATTACAACTCGAAGGGGGTAATTCCACCTATTAAGTAGAAGCAAACGAAAAGAAAAAAGCAAACCTTAAGAAAAAACCCTTGCCGATCACCCCATGTTGGAATTATTTGAACTTCTCTGAGCTCTTAACTACAGTTAACCCATTGGTGGAAATAGGCTATTAGCGAGAATTTTTCAAATTAAATTTGAAGAGCTTTTATTTTTTAACAAAAAGTAAAATTTCCGAATTCAATGCCAATACTTATGTATGCATGTATTGTTGTTTTATATGGGAAAAACAACTTTTCGTAGAAATGGTAAAGAATTCTTGAGAATTAATATTTTTAGATCGGAAAGTTTTATTTCTCTTCTATTATAAGCTACTATTCCATACGAAGACAGACCTGTTCAAAAAATCTATTAGGGGCCCCAAAGAACGATTCCGTTCTAATTTAATACATTGCACATACATACATATCTGTGTTCGTAAGGAATAGTAGCAGCTTATGTCGAAAGGCTGGCTTTAGTATAATGCGGCATTCGCAGCATACGATTGCGAATGACTCACAGGCGCCGAGCCGTTAAAGAATTTTTGGCAAATAAACGTGCAAGAAGTAGTTCCGATACTAGCAAGTCAATATTCTTATTAAGTCTCATCAAAAAAATCCTTGTCGTTTAAAGAATAAAGGTGATGCCGCGTTATACTAAAGCCAGCTTCCCGACATAAGCTACTATTCCATACGAAGACAGACTTGTTCAAAAAATCTATTAGGGGCCGCAAAGAACGATTTCGTACTAATTTAATACATTGCACACTAGGGTGGTCCAAAAACAGTAAAGTCGGAATTGTAATGTTCTCCCTCCTAGGATTGTTCTATATCGAAAAAGTATACCCCTATTTTTTTATTTTGATATAAAACAAGTAAAAAAGTCTAAGTTCGGGCGGAGCCGAACATTAAATACCCGGCGCAAGTATTAAATATATGTTTTTCACCTTTCCGAAAGCTACCGCTACATGGTAAACCGAGGTGTATCCATTTTGAGTAAATTAGCGTCCTTAAATTTCGAAATATTGAAGTTTCAAGCATATCTGAAATTTACTGTTATATGAAAAGCGGCCGTAATTTTAGTTCGATTTCAATAAGTTTCAACGTTTTGCTTCTATGTGGCAAGTACAATAACCACACCGAGTTTGGTACAAATTGGTAGAACGGTTACCGAGATACATATATGTGATCATAAGTGGGCGGTGCCACGCCCATTTTTCAAAATTGTATCCTAAACGTATTTCTTGGTAACGAATTGTTGCAAGCATCAATTTTGAATAAATTAGCTTCAATAATTACTGATTTATCGAAGATTTCGTATTTCTCTAAATTACCGTTATATGGGATTATTGCCCTATTTTAAAAATTTTCGGCCATTTCGTATGTTATACCAAGGTTAACAACTGTGCCAAGTTTGGAAGAAATTGGTGCAGCGGTTACCAAGATATACACATGTAAACATAACTGGGCGTGGCTACGCCCATTTTCCAAAAATTTATAATATTCTTATTTTTCGTCTAAAACTTATTGTAAATATCAATTTTGAGTGAATAATCTTCAGTAGTTACTAAAATATCGCAGTATTCGTATTTCTGAAAATTACCGTTATATGGGAAGTGGGCATGGTTATTGTCCAATTTTTAAAATTTTCGGCCATTTAGTATGCTGTATCAAGGCCAACAACTGTGCAAAGTTTGGAATAAATTGATGCAGCGGTTACCAAGATATACACATGTAACCATAAGTGGGCGTGGCTACGCCCATTTTCAAAAAAATGTTAATATTCTTATATTTCGTCTAGAATTTATTATAAATATCAATTTTGAGTGAATTATCTTCAGTAGTTACGAAACTATCGCAGTTTACGTATTTCTGGAAATTACCGTTATATGGGAAGTGGGCGTGGTTATTATCCGATTTTTAAAATTTTCGGCCATTTAGTATGCTGTATTAAGGCCAACAACTGTGCAAAGTTTGGAATAAATTGATGCAGCGGTTACCAAGATATACACATGTAACCATAAGTGGGCGTGGCTACGCCCATTTTCAAAAAAAATTTTAATATTCTTATATTTCGTCTAGAATTTATTATAAATATCAATTTTGAGTGAATTATCTTCAGTAGTTACTAAAATATCGCAGTTTTTGTATTTCTGGAAATTACCGTTATATGAGAGGTAGGCGTGGTTATTGTCCGATTTTGCCCATTTTCAATACCATCCGTCCTACGCCCGAAAGAAGTGCACGTACCAAGTTTCGTTAAGATATCTCAATTTTTACTCGAGTTATCGTGTGCACAGACGGACAGACGGACGGACGGACGGACGGACGGACGGACGGACGGACAGACAGTCACCGCTTAATCGATTACTCTTTTCATCCTGATCATTTATGTATACATTTGTCTATATCTATCTCGATTCGTTTTGCCTGTTACAAACAACCGTTATGTGAACAAAGTTATAATACCCTTGTGCACAAGTGCGCTCGGGTATAAAAATATTTAAAGGACGCTCAAAGCGCTCCAAGTTTTTCACACGACGGCGAGTTTCAGGGGCCTGCCAATTCACTATTTGACTTTGAAGGAAAGAAAAGCAGTGGAAACTGAATATTTAAATCTTTTAACTTTCCCATGGAATAAATTTTCTCAGAACCATTCCATCCGTCTCTGAATAAGTTTGGATAATTGCTTACGGAGTGGAAACTGCAACAGGCAATAAAATGTTTGGAAATATACATATGTAAATCTAGTTATATATTAATACGCTAACATGAATTTTGTCTCCGTTCGTTTGGTGATTCTACCGTACCGATTTCCAAACCAAGAACACCATTGGAAAGGAATTTTTCTGTAGATAAGCACCATAAGTTTTTATGGTTTCAAAATTGGTTGAAAATTACGGCCTAAACCGTCGCTCAAACATTTCCGTATTTGTGTATAGATGTTGCTGCAACATGTTCAATTTGACATGTTTCGCATGTTGTTTCACTAAAGATAAATATGAAGATGAAGATATAAATGATAACGATGAAGTCAGAAAAAGAAGGCAAAAGTGAAGATAAAGACGAAAATGGAGACGATCACAGACAAATAAGAACTAGGGTAACTGAAAGGGTAAGAAAATTTCTTGACTTTTTGAAGTGGAACTTCTATAGCGGCAGTTGGTTGGTTGGGAGTAAATTGTCAAATTCAAGGGGAATAATGCATATGGAAAAACGAAGATCAAGGTAAATTTAAACACTTTAAGGTAAAGGTGAAGAGGAATATGCAAAAATAAAGATAAATATGAAGAAAAGGATGAGGATGAAGATCGATATTGTTATCGATATAAAACTCGATATTTTTATCGATATAATACTCGATATTGTAATCGATAAAATAATATATAACAATGATACTGTTATTGATTAAATAACCGCTATTGTTATCGATACAATAATTTATATTGGTATAGATATGTATAATAATCGATACTGATGACTGTAATATTTATCGATGAATTAATCGATTTTGCAATCGGTATATTTTTCTATATGTTTATGGATATTGTTATCGGTATTTTTATCGACACAGTTATCGACACGGTTTTCGATATAATAATCAGAACATAATATGTGATCACATTAAATGACATCACATCACACTATATTACATGACACAATGAGACATCACATGATATTACATCCGCACCTCATCACATCTACGTGAATAGATAAAGAAAAGGATAAAAACAAAGATATGAAAGATAAAAACAAAGATAAAGACCAAGGTAAATTTACCGATTTCAAAACCAAAACCACCGTTGGAAAGGTTGGAAAGGTAATTCTCTGTATATGAGAGAGTTTAATAGTTTCGAAATTGGTTGAAAATCGTCGTTTAAAAATTTCCATATTTTTGCAAACTGTTAATTTAAGCTATTTCGAATTTTGTTTTACTTCGTATTTGGAATTCAACTTTGAAATAAAAACAAATATGAAGATGAAGAAACAAGTGATAACGATGAAGACAAAAAAGAAGGCAAAAGTGAAGATAAAGGCGAAAATGGAGACAATGAGAAATACATAAGAATTAGGGTACTTAACTGAATAGCAATTTTCCGATAGGAATCGAAATAAAATCAACCATAAAGGTTACTGAAATTTATCGAATCATCGAAGTTTGTAATTATCGAAATTTATCCATGCTTATTAAGTTATCGCAACGTATCGAATTATTCAAATTGATCAATGTTTATTGAGTTGTCGAAATTTATAGACACAGAAACTTAGTTGTCGAAATTTACGGATAGTTATCGAGCTATAAAAACGTGTGGGATTATCGAAATTTGTCAAGTTAAAGAAATATATCAAGTTATCGATATTTATTGAATTATCATTATTTATAGATTTGACGAAATTTATCGAGTTGTCGTAATGCATGGAGTTCTTTCAACTTACAAAGTTATCGATAATTATTGATCTACTGAAATTGGTTGATTCATCGAATCGAAGTTTATGGAATTTTCAAAATATATCGATTTATCGAAATTTCAAGGTTATATAAGCTTATGGATTTATCACTGCTTATCGAATTTTATCGTGTTAACAGAGTGTAGCGAGTTATCAAAATTTTTTGATAGTTTTCGAAAAATGTGGAGCTGTCAAAAGCAAAAATTTATAAAGGTATCCAAAGAATTTACATTTTTGAGTTATAGAAATTTATCGAGCCCTTG